TTATATTCTTTCATTCATTAGTTTTCCTGCTTCTCTATTCCATATGCTCTCCTTTCCTTCGGTTCCATGGAAAAGTATCGACGAGCCAGACGAGTAATACAATTAGAGCTTATGTATGACCTGAATGGTGTATGTGGCTTGACTGGCCTGTTAGCCAGGGTGGCTGCTGTATGACCAGAACAGCACAGAACAGCACAGACTACAAGCATGAAAGTCCATAACTCTCTTATCCTCCAAAACATCTTTTGACATATTATTTGTGGATTAGTGTGTATGAATGGTTCAATACAGTGAGAAGTCACAATGAATAAACAGAGGGGACCAGATTCTTTGTAAGGATGTACACATGGTTCTCATTTTAAGGCCTGAACCAATCCACTTAAGTTAATGTAAATCCTTCTCCAGACTTCAATGGGAATCTAGCCTTTCTGGCTAGCTCTAGTAAAGGACTTAGGCACCTAAGGCAGGATGTAGGTGGAACAGCATCCAAAAGCGCTCTCCAGAAACCTGTGCTTGGCTGCTGCCTAATCCTGGAGGCGCCTAGTCTTGCAAGGCACTTCCCTTTTCGATTTTAAAGTTATGTAGGTGACAACAGTCATCCAGATCATATCCAGATCAGCCTGGTCTGAGCAGCTCATCAGCCAGTTCTTTCCTCAGAATGGTCTAAAGCCAGGAACTAAGCAGAAGATGCCTAGGACTTTTGAGGGCCACATCTGGTAGGCATTTTCAAAGCGTCCTAGCATACACTGATGGATCAAATGCTCTTCATATCATTCTGCTTTAATACTGAAATGTCAAAAGGCATTTCTTCCAAACCAAATCTGAGAAGAACAGAAGAAAGACTACTTTTTTGGTTGATTGGTTTGGTTTTTTTGTGAAGTTAAAAAGAGTAATATGATGTAGATAGGAAATATGTTTAATTATTCACATTACTTTTTTTCTCTCTGATGCGCTTAGAGGGTATTTTTAACTCAACTTTGACTGGGCTGAAAAACAGTCACCTCATCCCTAAACAGTCTCATGTCTAGGAATGTTCACATTCTCTAAATCAAGTTGAATGTCAAACAATTAAGTATGGATAATTTTTTCTGCATCTAAGTTTGGAAACAAACCCTTCAGTCTATATTAAGATTACAACTTACTAATAAAAAGGAACACTATTTGCAGAAGTCAGCTGCTTTTTGCACAGGTAAAACGTGGTGCTTTAGAGGCACAGAGGAATGTTGTGTATTACATGAAGACTGCAAGGTGGAAGTGTTAATTCTGTGTCAGACGTTTGGCAAAACAGAAATATAGCCACAGAAATAGAACATTTTCAACACATCCTGCTTTGAAAATAAAATTACTTGGCTTCTAAGTGGTATTTTTTCATTAAAATAGAGGTTTTGCTGTGGTATTTATGTGTCAGGAGGAGCCCATTAGTCTACGATGATATTCTTTTTCCATTGACATTATCTTTTAATTATATCATTCTGAGCCACATCACTAGTGGAGGATCAATTTTTACAGCCCAGTTTACATATCGCTTCAGCATCTAATTCTGAGGAGGTGTTACACACTTTGAGGTTTCTGCTTCCCTTTTTTAAAATAATTTGGAACTCATGACTGCTTAAAAAGGCATCAACAAAGGTGCCTGTCTTTCCTTTGAAGTCATTTTTTGCGGAAATCACAGTCACTGACCAAAAGGTTTCAAAAGATTAAATTGTGCTTATTTTACGACATTTTAAAACAGCAGGGTTAAATGCTGGGCCAGCTGCCAGGCAGTCAGCAGCACCCATACTTTCATGTTCAGCAGCCAGACACATCTACAGCAGTTATTTCTGAGTAGTTATTCCTGAAATATGTCACTCAGAACAGCAGAGGAGATTTAGGATTTGTGCGCTTTGATGACGGGCTAATGAAAATGTATTTTATATATATGCCATGGGTGTAATGAATTTCAGGGTTAAAAAAAAAAGGAATGTAGTGGGCAAATTAGATATTTGTAATTCTCTTTGTCAACTCTGGCTTCACCCTATAGTTGGAATCAACTTGGAGATCCACAAAATCACGGCTGGCAGACACTTGGGTCCTGTAGTGCATTATCCACGTGTGGCAAAACACTTCACTGCTCACTCCTTTATATGGAGGCTGTAATGGACCGAGGGCTAGTTTATACTTGTAGAACTGTTTCAGAAAGGGACACATAAATCTTGACATCATCTTCGATGAGGAACCCGAGGAGAGGAAGGACACTCAAACACTGTCCATCCTGGCCAGCAGTGCTGTGGGCTTAGTGGATCTTTTTTGAAGTTCAGCTCTGTTGCAGTCAGGAAGTGATTTGCCCCATTTTATAAATTTTCGTTCTGGTCTTTTCTTTCTAATCCTCATGTGATGCCTGGTTTCCCTTGCCTTGGTGTGTGTTTTTTTTTCATCTGCCTTTTTCCATTTTGAGGACTCACAGGCCAGACCCTCTGTGCTGGTTTCCGTCACTTTGTATTGTGCAGGTGTTGCAGGGCGCTGTCTTAACTGGCCCCGGGGGATGTTCCCTGTGTAGGGAGCCATGCAGCCGGTGCAAGGTGGTATAAACAGCTCTTGTGCCAATTCTTCTTCCCATGCTGGCACAGGGAAAGACTGAGAGACCCACAGAAACAAAACAGAGTGCTCTGGGTTCTTAATGGGTACATCTCAGGGACTAAAACAGGCTGGGATTAGTTAGGGTGTACTTGAACTACACAAGCTTATCTAAGTTCTGCTGGGGCTCAGGCTGACACAGGAGCAGCCGTAGAGCTGTGTGACCATAACCAGCTCCCCATCTCCTGCTCTGAGTGGATCTTGGCAGAATATGGACCTTTTATTCTTGTCCTGCTGGCTGGATGAAACCCCACTGTCTACAGATCAAAGGAGTTTGATGGACTGCCAAAAATAGTAACCTATACGTAAAACATGTGCTCCATTTATAGCGATCATTTGGAAAGTTTCCTGCTACTGCAGAAATTCAGATTACATTGATTTACTGTTCAGTGCTGCAATATACTGAGAGGCTTTTCAATGAGTTCTATTGTATGCATTTGCAGAAAGGCTGGGGAAATTTCTTCCTTCCTTCCTTTCCCTTTGGTATATAATGCATAATCATGTGAAGTACATCTTTCTGAGGTTTTGCATAGCTCTAGTGAAGTGGGTTAATATCTACTCTCCACTTTGAAAGACATTGTCACCTGTGCTGATGTTTTAGTCTTTGAAAATGAAGTGCTGTTTCTTTTGATGTAAAGAGCATCTCTCCAGTATTTATGGAATCATTTTATTTTACCTCTCAGTCTATAGGCTGTTAGCTACAGAATATGTCCCGCATGTTGTTTCCAGGCATTTCAGTGGCTTTTGTGTGAACAGATCAGTGATTCACATGGCAATTAAACAGGAAGGTACACATGAGTACAGCCACCTTGTGTTTCAGCGCTTGTGCCTATCTCTGCTGTGGGCAATACACTCTTTCTAAGCCTCATCTAAGTTCTGTTGGGCAAAAAAGCTACTTTCAGACTCCTTCCTAGAGGAGTATTAATATCACTGAACAGCCATAACGGCGCTGCATTTATAGACAGCCTGAGCTTAGGTGGTTATGGCAAGGAAGACAGAATACATTGGGCTGTACGAACTGATGTGGACGCTCAGAAGTAAATCAGGGAGTATAATAATGCTACATCCTCTACAGAGCCAGCCTACACAGACCCAGTCTCTGTGTTAACCAAACAGTATTTGATATCTAGCTAACAAACAAAGCTGAAAAGAAAGAAGAGCATCTGAAGCTCTTATGACTCATAAGAAGGCTCATTAATCCATGTACTCATACATGTATTGTGAAAAGAGTAAATTTACTGAAAAGCTTAGTAATATAAGAAGAAAATAAAAGCTCAAGAGTGAGCAGGGACAGTTAACTGCTGGCCTACAATGTTTCAGCCTGTTAGCAAACAGGGATCCTCTTTGGTGGATGATAAAGAAGACAAACTTGGCCTTAATTTCATGACTCATATTACGGATGGATGTCATACCCTTCTCTCAAATGATTTATTTACCTAACAATATCCAGAAATGGCCTTTTTTCCTTTCTGGTTTTATTTTTATAAAGTGTTTTCCTTCAGACCCTAGCTGCTAATAGGCACCATAAGAGTTAATTATTCTATCTCTGGATACTATTAAATTCACCCCAATTCACTCCTCTGCTTCCCGTCTGTTAACGTCCTATGGATCAAAGCTCAATATAACTATTTTAGGCCAAGAGTTCAAAATGCTACCATTCATATTATAACTTAACAGGAAAGCATGAGTTACTTTTCCTCCTAATAATTAATACCTTTCTGAGTTATGGTGGTGGTTCTTTTGTTTGATTTTTTGTTTGTTTGTGTGGTTTTTTGTTTTATTTTATTTGCTGGTTTGTTTTTTAAACTGAAGAATTAATTTGGATTTTCCTGTTTTATAGTCCTAATCTCAAAGATTACATCAATCTGTTTTCGTGTATCTGTTATGTGTCAATCATTTGAAGGAGAAAAAGTAATTAATCGAAACACACTGAGTAAGAAAAGTGTAGATAACATTTCTGAAGGAAACAGGGGTTTAGAATGGCAGCAAGAAAAAGGAAAGCCTTTCCTCGGCTATTTTTCTCTACTTGTGAATTAAAAAGACATTTTCCTTTCAGATCTCTGCAGAATTATTAGCAAGCATTCCCACTATCTGCTCCATTTGCGACCTGAGGGCTTTGCACGGAAGGAGCTGTTTTAACCAGCGTTCAAACGGACACCCTCCGCCGCGGCTCTCCCTGCGTTTCTGCCTTCCCCGAAACGTGCCGGCCGAGCGCTGGACTTCACCCTGCGATCGCTTCGGTGTACATGTCCGCCAACCTGCCCTCCACATGGACACTTGGAACGCTCCCCCCGCTTTCCCCGCTCCGGGATCCCGGCCCGGCGCACGGGCGGCCGCGCTCGGGCGCCCCCTGGCGGCCCCGCTCGGTGGCGGCGCGGCCGTGTCGCCGCCCGCAGGCCCCGGCTGCGCTGCAGGGCCGCGGCTCCCGGGGCCGTCGGTCCTTGCTGCTTTGGGAACGGCGACCTCCTGCTTCCCGGCGCTGGCCTGCTGAAACGGTGAGGGTTTGCATGATTCTGTACCGCCCCAGCCGCTTGAGGGTGACGGGAAGGAAAAGAGGAGCTCGGTACAGGAGAGTGCGCCCGCGGTCGTAGCGGAGGCAGCGGTGACACAGCCCCTTTGGAGGGCAAGGCTGAAGGAGCTCACGGGTTTAGCCTAAGTGACAGCTCCAGCAGCATAGAATTATTAATTGAGAACTTGCAATCTCTCAATACCTATACTCAAGGTGGGGTCTCCCCTGGAATACTGAATCCACCTCTGGGGTCCCCAGCACAGGAAGGATATTGACCTGTTGGAGTGAGGCCAGAGGAGCGTCATCAAGTTGATTAGGATGGAGCACCTCTCATATGAGGAAGGGCTGGGAGAACTGGTATTATTCAGCCTAGAGAAGAGAAGGCTCTGGGGCGTTCTAATTGCGGCCTTCCACTACCTGAAGGGAGCCTACAAAGAAGATGGAGAGGGACTTTTTCCAAGAGTATGTAGTGACAGGACGTGGGGGTGTGGCTTTAAACTGAAAGAGAATAGGGTTAGATTAGATATTAGATAACATTTGATATTAGAAAAAAATCTTTACTGTGAGGGTTGTGAGCCTCTGGAACAGGTTTCCCAGAAAGATTGTAGATGCCCCATCCCCAGAAGTGTTCAAGGCCAGGTTGGATGGAGCTCTGAGACAGCTGGTCTAGTGAAAGATATGCCTGTCCATGGCAAGGGGTTTGGGACTAGATGATCTTTAAGGTATCTTCCAACCCAGGCCATTCTATGATAGGTATTTTAATATTTTCATTGTAAAAAGCGCGTTAAAAGCCTGGGCTATGTAATACTCCAGCCTTTGTATCGTGGTTGTGAATACTTCTTCAGAAATAGGGCATTAGAGCAGAAGTGTAAGCTGAGAGATTGCAAATTCATAATTAATAATTCTATGCTGCTGACAAAGTATTTACCCCTGTCAAATACCTACCTAAGTTATGTTGTTTATAAAACTAATTCAAACATCTTTGATCTCAGCTCACACAAAATTCCGTCAGATGGAAGTCAAACACTTTGCAGAAAAAACCATGCACTTTTGAGGTAGTGTTGCTCAAACTGTGTAGAGGGATTGGCATTGGCTCCAGCTCAAGGACTGACACGTCCCCCTCCACCAGCCTCCCTCTCCTCTCAGTTTCACCCACAGCACCAGCCCTTTCCCTGTTCTAAAGTTGTTGCCCAGGACTTTTTATTAGCCATTTAGCCCTGCTCAGCTGTACAGCATGAAGAATGCATACTTTTCTTTCTACTTAGTGTTGGCTTTATCAGTAAAATTTATCTGGAGTTTGATGTTCAGAGGGTTGAAGGGATGATGGGAGGGGGGAATAGCCCAGGCCAGCTGTGAGTATATTGACTGCTCATTTAAGCAAAGGCAAGGGAAGCAGCCTGGCTGCAAAAAGTAAAATATCACAGGCTATATCATAAGGTTTGGATGTGAACATACATACACAATGCTTCTTTCACAGGATTCCTGCTGTAAATTTTATCCTTTACTGGGTGATTCAATCCTCTGTAATGAAAATGTTGCCCCACTCTGAACTTTCCTGATGCTATTTCTTTCCCAAGAATAGTAATAACAGAAACTAAAACAAAAGACAGAAGAAAACATACTCCATCTTGTGTTAAAGGAATCTTTCTTGGAAAATGAAAAGCCTTGGTACCACTGGGATCGGCCCTTCAAAAGCTTCTGAAATTTTGCCACGGCCACCACATCTGCTACAGAAATTAATTTGATACGGCACTGCATTCCTTTTATGGTTAATTCACACTTATCCAGTGGGTGACCTATCCAGCCTGTAGATAGGTAGGGCAGTAAGTGTGAAGTCACCTGAATCAAGAAGCAGTATGGCTATATTTGTATCATCTGTATTCCCTAGTTCAGAGAGGTGCCATGTTGAAACAACAGCTGTTTTTCCTCTCCATCTTGTGAGCTGCTGTAAAATAAGTTTTGCACTGTTTATGTTTTTGGGGGGCCAGGGTACCCCACTGGTAACCTTGGATAACAAAAACCTAATTAATGTAGCCCTGGATAACAGAAACCTAATTAAACCACAGACGCCATGCACCCATGAAAACGCCTGGTGATAAATCTTTTTCCCATTGGCTGTTATGCTTCCAAATTTGCTGCTTCTCTCAGAGATGTTATTTATTTGCTTTGTGCAAATCTTTTTCATGAAGCATGTCTGCTTCTTTCTAGACCTTTGTTTGCAAGGTATGCAAGTATTAATGCATGTGTGCATACAAATTGCTCCCTAAATTATTAACTAGCTTAGGACACTTCGTACTCTGATTGAATCCTGACTATGTTTGGTAAGCGGACAAATTTCTAGAAACTTTCTGGTCCATGTTTTAACAATGAATATCATCATGCAGCTTTACAAATGCCTACTTTTTGAAGAAAATCATTCTATCTTACATAGGAGGATACCCCAGAGGTACCATGGCTTTTCATTTTCCAAGAAAGATTCTTTAGCGCAGTCACTGTTCTGCTAGTGATACATCCCCAGGAACTCTACTAGAAACCTAGAGAATTGGAAAGTATTCAATCAACATATCAGTTTATTGCTAAAGCAAGATCATATTCCAACAGAGAGAATATGAAAACCAATACACCAATAGACCACAGTCTTTTATTAACTACTGAGTGTTTTAAAACACAACAATGTGCAAAGTCTTTTTGCAAATTGAGTGCCAGGCTTCATTTTTGGAAGCTGAATGTTACTATTTTGATAGATATTAAAAGATTCAGTTCAGTAAATACAAAACTGACATGTGTGCACCGGTACAGCAAATTCTAAAAATGCATGTGATGCACAAAGAACCAGACTATTTATTCTTCAAGTATACTTGTTTGGTATGTTGTATGATAGCTGTTAGGTATGCTTAAAGAATTATTTTGTAATTGCAGTCTCACAGGATGTCCTTTTGTTTTTCTGAGGAATATTCCCCAGTGTTTCTCTTTTCATTTAGATGCCTAGAGCATGACCACAGGAAGACATTATTTCCCCCTTCGATACAGGAATATGTATCAACATAAGACCCATGCCATACTGTTACACTAACAATTGTTCAGTAATTTATTTCCCTCTTGTTTCTCTCTTTCCAGTGGAAATACGTGATCCAAATCTGAGCGAACTGACTGCAGATGTTTTTGTTGACTTTATAGACTTTGATTATATCTTTGATACAAGAGAATCCGCCCTGCAGGACGGGAGTGTAATTCCATCAAGGACTTCTGGTGACCTCATAAACCATGAGAGCTGGCATTGACTTTAATGGGCACCACGTGGTTAAGTTCCCATGCATCATTTTGAAAATGTAGGGCTTCATTTGATATTGCAGAAGGATACCAGACCTACCATGTCAAATTGTTTCTCTTTCTTCTTAAGGAGCCACCCGCTTTATGTTACAGTCAGTCCTTTTGGTAGCAAATGAAATATGCCATTCTGGAAAATTAGTATTTTCTCTGGCAAAATGAACTTGAAAAGTGCATTTCATAGAAAAGCACATATTTGGGTTATATTCTTTTAAATAAACTTTCTAAAAAGATGGCAGTAAATTCAAGGAAAGGTGTGGGTTTTGCAGCACTGGCTTTGCTTGCAAACTGGTTTTACTTGCAAATTTCAAAGTATGAGACATTTAAAAAAATAATTTGTTAAAAAATATAGTAATAGAATTGTTATGAGTCAGGTGAAAAATTAGACCATGTTAAACATGGTTTAAGTTAAGCTAAGTTAGCTCAAATTGCTAGTGATAAATGACCTAAGTTAGAAGTTACTTAAACTAAACCAGTTTAACTGTATTCAGTGCACCCGTTCTAGGACTCTGTTATTAGGAATTTCCAGGGGTTCAATAAAATTGACTTGAAGTTTCGATGTGTGAAATTTGTTCCATCACCTTTGTAAGGCACTTGGAGATTTTCTCCTGCCTTCTCTCAACCTACATTTCACCTGTTGAAACCAGTATACAACCATTGTCCGTACCTATGAAAAGTTGCTGGATATCAGTCTAAAAATAAGATCTGTCAGCACAGCTCTGATTCAGGAAAACGTGGTAATAAAGACATAAACTAAGTGTGTCAGCTTAGCTTTTTTTATCATATATGACATCAGTATATAACAAGGAGATGCTCTAAAAATTCCTCATCATGATGATTGCATACCAGGAAAGGATCTGTCCTTCCTAATTCTGAGAGTACAGATCAGTGAACTGCCTAACCTCTATTTTTATTTCAGCGTTATAAGTAACTTTATTCCTAGATTGGTCCATAAATAACAAAATCTTTGTTACATGGCTAGATAATATTCCTGTATTATATGCGTAGGATATGTTATTTTTTATTCAGCTTCAGGTAACAAATCACCTTGATATTAAAGGGGGGAAAAGGATACCTTTTAGACAGATTATTCAAAACCTACTTACTTTGGCCTTTCTACCACCTTAATGTGAAGTCCCCAGTGTGTGTTGTTCTCTGGGATAACTTCTGAACTATGTGCATCACTGCTCCCTATGCTATATTGCAGTGAGAAGTACATTTTTTCACCATGTGCATGGCTCATCCATAAGGTATAGCACTCCTTTTAGTAGTTCTATCCCATGTCCTAGAGCTAGGTGGAAAAATTGCATGTCTTAAGTTTAGTTTAAATGTCTTCTTAAAGAATGGTGACTGTGGGTGTATGGGAGAAGGTTGGTTCTCCAGTGTTGGTGTCATGGTACAGTTATGTAGATTTTATACAACAACCTCCTTCTTAATGGCACTCAGCATTATCCCAGTTGTAATCTCATAGCTGAGATAGTTAATAAATTATAGGCATAAGGAAGGCTGTGTTGTACTCTACTAGGTTAGATAGTTTGTACCAGAGGAGGATCCCTAAGGCTTGTTGAATAAATAGATGGATCTTCTCTCTACTCCATGAAAAATTATATATGTTTTTGGTTTGTTTGTACTACTTTCTCCACATGAAACGTGTGTTTGGTCCAACAATTCTGTGGTTTCCTCACTTTGTGATAATAATTAACACCCTCACTGAAGTCTAAGCAGTGATGACATTTGTTTAGGGGCCTGACTCTGATTTTTGTTGCTGTTTTGCCTTATGTTACTTTCAATATGCAATTGAAACCATTTTGGAAAAGGAAAAGGTTGAAAGTGTTGGTTTTTTGATCTTACTGACTATATAGAAACTCTTTCAATATATCATTCAACTCAATATATCCTTCAACCTTTGTGAGTGGACAACCTCTCCAGTGCTGTGGGTCTGGGTTGACAGTAGCAAGGTGAAACTAAAGTGAGCTATGCAGGGGTCTAAAGCCTCCCCCTTTTTTTTTTCCCCTCAAAGAAACAGAAAAATAGATATGATTAATATAAAAGTAAACCAGTCAGAAAGTAACTGTTGTTTGTGAGGTAAATGTGTTAGGAGAGAAAAAAAGAAAGGACATCTTAAACCTTAGAGATTCCTGAAGCTTTGGGGAAAATTTATTTTAAGAAATATGACAATGGTTCTCTCCTCAGTAAGCTTGTAAAAAAAGATTAATAGCTTTGGAGTAGATATACATATTTTGAACTTCCTTTCTGGATAGAGCACAAAGAAAACCTGGCTTGTTTGTGGTTGTAGAAGAATCATAGGTGGCTTTGTATAAGAAAGGCAGGTAGCTG